ATCCCCGTTCCACTCGTTTTTTAATTATTATTATTGTTGTTTTTTAAATATATTATTTGAAATTCAACACTCTAACCAATCAGATTGAATTTTTTTTTTTTTTTTTGAAAAATAACTATTCTCCATTAGAGTATTTATTTAAATGAAAATTTGTATTAATAAATAAAATTATTTAATGTCAATAATTAAAATAAAAGAAAAAAATTATATATAAAAAAAAAAAAGTTATGTGACATCCCTTTAATAATATCTCTAATATTTGATGTCTTAATTATTAAGATATTTTTTTCGGTCTCAATCTTTTAATTAATATATTATTATTTGATATCCGATAAGATATAAGATTTTTTTACAATCTTAAAGTAGAAATTGACCCATGAAAAATAATTTGGAATGAGAATCGATCACATGAAGATTCCGAACACACTCTATGGTCGACTTTAGCTATTTTACTTTTTTTTTTTTTTCATTGAATCGTAGTTGGATGTGTCGGAACTCCCCGACGGCCAACGATCGGAATGAAATGTGGTGTCGTTTCTCTCTTATTTAACCAACTCCATGTAGTTGGATTTAATCATTAAATGATTTTTTTTTTTTTTTTTTTTTTTTTTTTTTGTATCAAAATTAATGAGATGGATGAAATCATTAACTAGTGAATATTTTTTAAAAGAATATTATTTTTCGTTCAAGTATAAAATTAAACCATCGAACTTGTTGGATGATGAAAGTCCCACATCAACTAATTCAAAAAGTGATCATGAATTTATAATCAAATAATACTCTATCCATTATAGTGGACATTTTGGGAAGTCCAGAACAAAGTCACGAGAGTTTATGTTCACTGTGGTAGAGAGTCTGTTCATCTAACAAAACTCTAAGATGATCCTTTGTGTATATAATTGTAATTAAATTAATTTTTTTTTAGTTCAACCATTAATATGAGAAATTAAATAAATAATTAATGAATTGATTAAATTAAATAAAACTAAAAAATAATTGAAAATAATTGAGCAATTGGTTGTCAATGGTGCGGCCATGTTGATAGATCCGCACGACAATTTGATATTTTGTTTTTTTTTATGAATGATTACATGAAAACCTAACTTTTCAACTATTCAAATTGCTTCTTTCATTTGATTTTGAATTTTGAATTTTATAATATATATATAAAAATTAAAACAGTTGAGCCTATTCCCCTTTCTAGATAGACCCATTCAATCCAAAAAATATATATATATTTTTTTTCCATCCGAAGCTCAAGGCGATCGATAGGTTTATGTATTTTTTAAAATTTATTGATATGAAACTCTTGTGATTTGAGCTAAAAATCTTGTTTATGAACGAGATTTTTATAGATCGAAATTATCAAAGAATCCAAAAAACGATAAAGAATCAACTTAAAAGAAAGTTTTGGAACGAATTATCTTGATGATCAAAATAAAAAATAAAGAAAATTCATTTATAAACTCGTGATTCAAAACATTCCACAAAATAGCTTATTGAAACTGCTTGAATGACTCTAGTATGCAAATCTAAACACAAAAAATGCTGAGGAGCACGATTGTAACTTAAAAAGTATAATATGCAAACTTCATTTTTTATATCCAAAATATTTATACTAAAGATAAATCATTATTTATAACTTTGAAAATAAAAGTAATATATGGTTAATTAAAAAATTGTAATTTACCATCTAAACGTAACTTATAATCTTAAAAATAATTATCTAAAATGTTAAAATACAGTAAAATATGGTAAAATTTTTATGACATGATTAAAACATCTTATTTCGTATCATCTATATTGCATGATTGATACCTCGGTTCATATCAGCAACTTTAGTTAAACAAAATAAGATTCAACTCAATTTTAACAATTCGAGTTAAGTTGGTTATGTTTTTGCAGCCGAACCTTTTAAACACTCCCAGTACTATGCAGATTAAGCATGTGCATGAGCTAACGAACGTAGATCGTCAAAGTTATATAACAAACAAATTTCGAGCTCATAAAACTATATTTAATATACACCACATATTTTAATATCTAATCTTTGATATGTTATATATCACACCAAATTATTACTGATTAATAACTAGTATAGTTCGTATACCAAATCAGCATTAATACAGGGAGTTAAAACATTTACTCACTGTAAATAAATAAAAAAATCATTAATGTAATTAATATTAGAAAATCTAAAAGTTCAGAGGGCAATTTGATCTAAAATAATATATACTATGACAAATTATCAAATTATTATTATTTTAAATGACTAAACGTTGTTTTAATTAAAAAAAAAAAAAAAAAAAGTGACTCACATGGGCGGGAGCGTGCCTGTATCGTGATGGGCGGCTGGAAATTTGAAATCCAACGGCTGGAAATTTGTCTGGTTGGGTTTCGTCTAGTCTATTTGCGGTGGCAGATTGAAAGAAAAAGCTAATCCCATCACGTGACGGCGGAAGATTCAAAGATTAAAGGTGAAAGGAAAAAGGCTGTGTAAAAAATATTAAAAATAAAATAAAATCAATTTCCCACACGACCCCACGTATTTTTGGCTATTTTTGTTAAATTACTTATTTTTAGGGAAAAATTAAAATTTAGTCTTTTATATTTTATAAATTAAAATTTAATGAATAATGTCATAAACTTTAGTCTATATATAGTAAAGACATTTACAATAACTATATCAAATTTTAAAGACAAATTCTAATATTTAAAGTTATAAAGTCTAAATAATATTTTTTTTCAAAATCATAACCATAATTTAATAATTATTTTTAAAGAGGTTTTGTATTTATAAATAATTTAAAGTTTCTTATTGTCATGGTTCATATATCAAACCATACTAATTTATCTCTATGTTTTTATATTCATGGCAAAATATATATATATATAATTTAGTAAATAAAATATTTATTATTTTTTTAAAAATAGATGGTTCCTTCAAAATACATATATTTACATAATTAGTAATATAAATACAAATACGACATTTTCCTTCCATTAATATAACAAAAAAAAAAAAAACTCTTCAATTTGAAGGGTAAAATGAAACTTTTCAAAATCGGGGCATAATTGAAACTAATCCCATTTGTGGTTTTTTTTTTTTTTTTTTTTTTTTTTTTTTTTTTTTTTTTTTATATAATTTAAATTTGATTTTTTTTATCTTATTTTTATTGAACGAGATTTGAGTAAATAAAAATAAGCCAAAATTATATTACAATAAAAGAGTTTGTTCTATTTAATTGTTATTAGATTGAATTGCAATTTTAATTTCTACAGTTTAAAAAAAATCTGAAATTTAGTCTCATTGGAAGAAAATTATATATATATATATATATATATATTAAGTTTATTTATTATTATTATTATTTTGGTTCCACTAACGTGAATGGTAGGTGGAACAAACAAATGTTCTTGAGCAAGTGAGCATCCACCTTCGCATGAATGGTAACAAATATAGGCCAATATTATTATTGAAAAATATATTTTTCGCTATAAATAAAAAAAAAAAATCATTTAAATGTCAATTTAAAAAAAAAAAAATTGCTTAAAGTAAATATAAGTCATTGAAATATATCTGCAATTTCTAAACTTAAATGTGGTTTTATTAATAAAAAATTTAAACTAATAATTATGTCAATTTAAATATTAAATTTGTAAGTAAGTTTCTTACAATTTATAATATTTTTTTAATTTTAATACTAATCGGTTTATATTTAGTATGGATAAGGCCAAATAAATTAGTATGCTTAATAATTAAGCGATTCTAAAGGAAATTAAATTAATATACTTATTAAATTTTATAATTAAATAATTAATGTATATATATATATATATATATTTTTTGGACAAAATAATAATAATAATAATAATTAGATGGCAATTTCACAATCTACAGGCTTTTTCTCTCTCTCTTGTTTTTCCATTACGCCCAATGGGCTTTTGTTAAAGAATCATACACCATTCATCTAAATAATATTATAATAATTATAATCACGAGGCTTATTTAAATTAGTTAAATTAATTTGTAATTAGTTACATATTATGCTTAAACCCAAAAGTAACGACAAGAGTTAGAGTTGAGGTGAACACGACTCTCGACAATGGTATGATATTGTCTACTTTAAGCATAAACTTTCATGACTTTGTTTTGGGCTTCCAAAAAGATTTGGATAGTATCATTTGATTATAAATTTATGATTATTATCTAAATTAGCAGATTTGGGACTTTCATCCAACGATTATAATGTTGTATTCGAGCGCACCTTCCACATGAAGTCGACCAAGGAACTTAGCTTTCTTGTTGCTTTTGGCCCAATTTTCTTTCACACATTTTATTCCATGTTAGGTTTTTTTAAAATAATTTTTGACCATTAATTTTCTGAACATTTAGGTTTGTTTTTATGATTCAATTTCTTTTGGTAACATCTAATTAATATATATTTACTATTTATAAATACAATTAAATATAAAAACTTGAATTTTAAAAAAAAAGTTAAATAGGTAATATATATATATATATATATATTTTAAATTTAGACCTATAAAATTATAAATTAAAACGCTATAAACCTATTTAATATATATATATTTAAATTCTAGCGTTTTTTAGGCGATACTCTTCAACTTTATGGACTCTAGTAATTTAAATTTAAAATATTTACCAGAGGTTAAAAAAAAATCAAAGGAAGAGCTAAAAATAGGACTAATAAAAAGGAAAAAAATACGGGATGAGTTGTAACAGTAAAAAATGGTCGTGGTGAAAATTTTCTCCACTAATTTTATTTCTATAAAATTTGAAAATATTTGTACAATGTTTATTTTCTGGTAAGAAATTATTATAATTATTTAACCAATTTTGATATTAAAATTACTTGTAAGATTTATTAGACTGATAATTATTAAGTATTTATCTAAAATAGAAATTCGATTTTGCAAAAATGGGGGGAAATTGAATGCATGTAAGATGGCAGCATATAAATATCAACGTAAATGATCACACGCAAAGACACATCCTCTGTGATTCACAGGAACGTGATCGAGAGTATGCTGAGCGCGTACGTAAAGTGAATCAAGGTACCGATCGAAGTCGATTCTTCGAAGTCCAAGATTTCTTTCAGTCAGTGCAAGAGAGATCTGACAATTTGCTTTATTGCCGCGGCGGAGAACGATCACAATCCCACCATGAATTGTCTTCAAAACCTTTCAATGTCCGTTCTGAAGTGAAATCATCATCTACTTTTCGATTTATTTCTGGTTCGAAACAATTTCATCTAAATCTATGCTTATGATTTCCTTTCTCAGATCATCTTCTTTGCCGCTGCGAAGCTTCAAATGCCGGCAGAGAAAGCCTGATTTCCAGCCCTGCAAACTGGTACTCTCGTTCGCGCTACATTCTGTATTTGCAGTTTTATGTATCCAGCCTCTCTGTTATTTGTATCGAATGTTAAAATGATTGTTTTGCTTCATACAGATGATAAGGAACTTTACCGATCTACATCGACGTTCTTCCGTGAAGGTAGCTAGCGACTTATAAGTGATTATGAGAATTTGTAAAAGATTGTTTTACTGCGACTGATTTGTTAGTTTCGTATGAGTGCTTATTTCCTTCAAACAGTTTTCCGATTGAATTTGTAGCTCTGTTTGAGGCATAACATCGTTGTGAATATGTGTGTGTGCGCGCGCGCGCGCGCATATGCATATATCATCTTTCAATTTAGGAAATGTATCAATGCTTAGAGGAAATATATCTGTTTGATCACCTGTAGTTTTGGTAGCTTTAGGTCACTGGTCGTTATAATAATATTTGAAATGATGACTTGTTGTCTATAGGCAGTATCTGGATCTACATCAAGTGTTGAAATAAGTGGCGCTGAAGTGGATGATGCCGAGGAAAAGGAGGAAAAGTCTGAGATATATAGCCAGAACATGACAGAAGCGATGGGTTCTGGTAAGAGCCATCATCCTGCAACTCCACTTTGAACTGGAAAATAACTGTGCTGCTACATAAATTTCATGATTAAATTCATTCAGATTCAGAAATGGTTCAGTGAGAAAGTAACTAGAAATTTGATTTTCTATTGTGTGCTAGAATCGCAACATGTTTTAAATATGAGTTCAAAGGTGGATGTTCGCTGACTGAATGATCTAACCTGCCTGTTTTTATGACCATAAAACTAGAGCTTAGATTGCTTCTTTTCAAGTTCTTATTCTTCGGTTGTCTAATCCGATTCCTTTTTTACCTTTATGATATAGTATTGACATATAGACATGAGCTGGGAATGAACTACAACTTCATTCGTCCGGATTTAATTGTAGGGTCATGCCTACAGGTGATCATTGTTTTTGACATTTTTCATCTAGTACATTTTTCTGCACCAACTCCCTTACAATTTCATTCTAATCCTAACGAATGTCAGACTCGAGAGGATGTTGACAAGCTCCGCAGCATAGGAGTTAAAACAATTTTCTGCTTGCAGCAAGATCCAGATTTAGAGTATCCACATTCCATTTCAGTTGCAATATTTTCCTTAATTTTTCACTGAATAAAGCTTCATTGAATTAATCTATAAAGTAAAGAACTGCTGTATCTCCTTCACTGCATTGAAAAGATATTTTGGGGTTGACATTGGTGATATAATAGCGTATACAGAGACATTTGATGATATCGAACATTTGCGAGCTCAAATAAGGTAAGAAGCTGTTTGTTATCTTGACCTATAATGTACTGTACTTTAATTGAAAGCTGTAAATCTGTAAAGCATATAACTGTAATTTGTAATCTTGCAAGATATGATACAACATTATGTTGATAAAGCATTTCAAAAAGTTAAGTAGGGCACAGGAATTTATATTTGTATATTTTGAAACAACCTATTTTTAGTATGGCACATGTTGTTCACTTTACGTGTTAGAGTAAACAAGATTTTTCGTATACTTCCTGTTCCTTCATCTACCACCATTGACCTATACTCTTTAAGATATTTGTTGTTTGATCAAGGATCTCCTCGGCTAAGCTATCTCTAGTGTGTGTGTTTTCAATTTACTTATCTCAAAGTTCAAAATATTTCCTCATCTCACCAGAAAAATCATCTTACATCATTTCATCAAACTCTGGCTTGGATTTGATCTTTAGTTAAAACTCAGCTTTTGAACGTTTCTACGTTATTATTCCAAACAAATTTATTCACACACTCGACCTCGTTCAAAGTTGAGCGCACATGCATGATGATTTTTTGAAGCATGTGAGGATTTTGCTTTCTACAATGGCCAATTAAAGTGTGATGCAACAGGGATTTTGATGCATTCGACCTACGGCTAAGATTACCAGCTGTTGTAAGCAAATTACATAAAGCGATGAACCAAAACGGTGGAGTGACTTATATACATTGCACTGCTGGACTTGGAAGAGCTCCTGCTGTTGCGGTATGCACATAAGCTTGCTTCTAGAAATAAATTTTGCTACTGTACAAATTATATATTCCGAATATAATGAATTTTAACTGAGTATAATATTGCATGAAAGATAAAAATATCTCGTGAAAAAGGTCTTGGTTTTTATGTGCTGTTCCATACCTCTTCATTCAAGTTTTTTGTATAGATAAACATACTTGTGCAGCTATTTTTGTCTTATTTCTTATTGATTCTTTCAGCCCCTATCCAGTCACTCTCCTCTTGTCACGTTGATATTTTGGCAATTGTCGGATATTTCAACATTTTCCTTTTAATTTCGAAGGATGTATTATACTATATAACTGGGTATATGCCTTGAAGCGTGACATAAATTTCTGTGCTTTTGTTGGGGATGTTCGAGATCCTCGGGGGCAGTAGGATTATTAGTATTTGATTAACTGTGCTTACATAGCATCAAATGCACCTTTGTCTGTTCCTTTTATTTTAATTAACAAGTGTATTTCTTCATCTATTAAATACATTTGTTTTCTTGGCTTTGCCAACTATTATTTGTGTTATGATTACAAGCAAATATTTCTGAGGTTGTTGTCATATGAAATCTGATTGTGAACATCATTTTAATCTGAATGATGTTAAGGTAGGATTGGTAATCTGTTAGTGTACAGTAGTTTTTTATAAATAAAAAATCTTTTAGTTTTTAAATTTTTAGAACTAGCCATATAACTTGGGTCTGCCAGAGAAAAATGAGATTCATATTGAATTGTATTTGTATTTGTAATTGCACGTTAAGGTAGGATTGACGAGTCGGGTAATTGTATTTTTACAAAAACAGATTGTTATCCTACCTTAAAAACTAGACAACTGTAATTTATATTTTGTAGACCCCCCCCCCCCCAAA